GATGTAGAGTTTCTTCATGAATGATGGAAGTTGTGTGAAATGTTCTGCAGAGGGAGGATGATTTATAGAGTGAAATTTAAAATTCACATGTCTCATGATGTTCAATGCTCGGAAGAGTTGATTAATTTCCAGAAGAGAACGTGTATTTCACAGCCATTGAGCTAATACATCACAGATGCAAATTAATTATGCAGATTTCATATTTTTGTCAATATTTGTTATCTCAATCCAGACAAGCCATAAAAGTATTTAGAAGACAAAAAGAAAGGAAGGAGAAGTAGGTCATTGTATTTCTCCAGAAGAAATGAATACCAGAATCATTTGGCACAGCCATTGAGCTAATACATCACAGATGCAAATTAATTATGCAGATTTCATATTTTTGTCAATATTTGTTATCTCAATCCAGACAAGCCATAAAAGTATTTAGAAGACAAAAAGAAAGGAAGGAGAAGTAGGTCATTGTATTTCTCCAGAAGAAATGAATACCAGAAAATAATCCTTTGTGCAGTGAGTTTCTCTTCTCACAAAGCCTTTTCATGCAATTTCAAAGGACAATCCAGACTGGGATGAACAAAATTTTGGAATAAATACCTAGAAGTGTAGTGGTGAGGCTCAGGCACTCAGCAAATACTGAAACTGAGCCGAGCCACAGACTCAAAGCATTTAGAGGCTTTATAACAAAACAAACAAACCCCCCAGCAACAACTGATTACGTGGCAAAAGAGGTTAAATAATTTGTTGTCACAACTTGGTCCTCTTAAGAAGGCTCAGGTACAGCTCTAGTTCCCTTGACACACTGATAACAGAGATCTCTTTGCCCTTTGGGTTATCCTCTACGGCTACAACTAGAATTGCTGTTGAAAGAAAATAAATAGTACTAAGAAAGAAAAGTTCTTTCTGTTTTCATGGTATTAAGTTCCAAGAATGGGCATATCCACTGAGACTGGTCTTTCATTGTGCTGGAGGGAGTTCTTCATCAAATGGATTGGTCTTTCACACTTAACCAAGCAAGTGCTGCCTTTGGAGTCTGCTAGCAGGTCAAGAATTCCACGTTGCTTTATGTATACACCAGTGCATGCACACTTTATGGTACTTCTGGCTTAGTGTAAAGGCAGCAGATAATTTAACTTCCTGAAAACACAGAAATATGTTAAGTCTTCAGCCTGAGGACAAGAAAGCACTTGCAATGGCATTCCCTTTCAGAGCATTCTGTTCTCATCTTCTTAGGTTGCTGTGCTACAAATCTTGTGGTAGCGACATGTTAAGCAGAGTCAAATTAAGATTTGAACTGCCTGTTTCACATATGCTTATTTCATTATGGTTTTTATGACAGGAATGGCATGAAATAAATGTGCTTCTTTCAGCTAGGTAGCTGAGCAATTTGTTGAACTCACTCTTGCAAGAGCCAGAAAGATTACACGTATTAAAGCACTGTGAAAGCATTTACCTTGTCTTTGGAGCATAAATTTCCCAAAGTCTTTTCCATGTATATCACCTTGATAGGTAAAAACACCTCTTTCCAGCCCTGAGGATACCTAGAATATGTTGAAAGAGAAAGAAAAAAAAATTTCTGCAACAAATATATAACAATCTTTAGCCATTTGCTCCTCTGATTTCAAGTAGATAATACTGAGCCCAGATTGTCCCTTTTAGCCTTTCAAATCTTAGTGAACTCTCCATGCTTATACAATGTTTATTCTTTTAAGTTTGCAATATCTGATGTACACTGCTGGGGCTGAACATTCTTCAAATGCCAAACACATAATTGGGTTAATCTACAGACATAGAAACCCACTGAACTGTCAGGTTTTAAATAATTTTCCATAGAAAGTTTCACGAGGTAGAAAGGAGAAACAAAGAGTAAAACAACACTGGTTCTAAAAAGAGAAATAGAGAGTAAAACAATACAGATTTTCTTCAAGAATCTATCTAATTAAAGAGTAAAACAACACTGGTTCTAAAAGGAGAAACAGAGAGTAAAACAGTACAGATTTTCTTCAAGAATCTATCTATTATTACAATTAAGTATTTACCACCACCACACCCAAAAAAAAGGATAATATTTCTAAAGGTAAATTCCTCTAAGGAAACAAAGCAAAACCATTACAAATTATGCTGATTCAGTCCCACTTCCCTTGAGTGAACTAAGACTTCTAATCAGAGTATGGCAAATAGAAGTTTGTATTTACAAATTACTTCCAAATTTAGACTTAGCAAGATTTCTCCAAGGCAATGTGGCTACTTACATAACCATCGAGTGCCCAGTTGTCGTTTTCCAACTTGCTGACAAAAATCTCACTGGGTCCTTTAATCTGAAACACTTTCAGGAGCAAATGAGCTTCTTCCTTCTTGTAAATACCTGTTAACATAAAGGAGGGAACATTTGCCTTGTGAACAATGTTTTCAACCAGTCTGGTCAAGAATCCTTTCAGAGCTAAGTCTATAGCTTAAGAGCTAAAATATTTTGGAGGCAATACTCTGTAATACCAGAATGTTATAACATGGAAAACACCAAAGTGCTGTAATAACAGGACCTGATTTTACTTCATCTTTTGCCCTTATCATATTTGATAACAGGATGCAAAGATGGTTAAGATGTCAGGTTAGTTTGTACACTGCTAGGGTGTTCAGCACTGGGATATTGCCCAGGGAGGTGGTGCAGTCACCATCCCTGGAGGTGTTTCAGAGGTGTCTGATGTGGCACTGCAGGATCTGGGTTAGGGTTTAGGGGTTCCAGCAGTGACAGGTTAATGGTTGGACTGGATGTTCTTAGAGGTCTCCTCCAACCTCCAATTCCATGATGGGTTTGCCTTGTTTAATTTTATACACAAGAGGGCAAGAACAGTTGTATTTTCATACATGTTTTAACACTTCTGAATACAGATAGAATTCCCTGACTGGAATTTCCATGAACTGGAAAAAAAAGTGGATCTTACTCACATCACAATGGTATATTGCTCTAGTAAAAATCAATAGTGCAGTGAAGGAAAATTTCCTGTTTGGCAGCCAACTCCTGAAATTCTCTCTGAACTCCTGACCTTAAAAGATAGTGCTAGCAGATAATGATCTTTTAAAATATAACTGTGATGAGCAGCTGAATCTGAACTTCACAGTCAGATCTGCAGAAAAGGTTGCATGATGTTGATTAAAAGGCCTGCATAATTTCCAAAGTTAGTTAATTATCTCTGCCTATTTTATGCTATGCCATTATGAAGAGCACATTGTTTCAAAGGGGATATTAGTCACTATTATTAAAGGAGTTTTTCCATGGAGTTCTTAAAATGCCTATAGACACTTTGTCTGCCACTTCATTACCTGTGAGTTCCACACATCAATGCTAACCAACAGTGTGAGATGAAGGAGCAATGAGTAGAAAGACCTGGGGGTGATGGTGGATGAGAAGTTCACCATCAGCTGCAGGGTGAGCTCAGCCTAGAAACCAGCCCAGGACTGAGATGCACCCACAGGGGTGTGGGCAGCAGGGCAAGGGAGGGGATTCTGCCCCTCTGCTCTGCTCTGGGAGACACACCTGGAATACTGCACACAGCTCTGGTGTCCTCAGCATCAGGAGGACATGGAACTGTTGGAGCAAGTGCAGAGGAGGCCACGAAGTTGCTCAGAGCACTGGAGCATCTCCCTGTGAGCACAGGCTGAGGGAGTTGGGGCTGTTCAGCCTGGAGAAGAGAAGGTTGTGGGGAGACCTCAGAGCACCTTCCAGGAGCTGAAGGGGCTCCAGGGAAGCTGCAGAGGGATCTGTGTTAGGAGCGGGAGGGACAGGACAAGGGGGAATGGGCACAAATTGAAGGAGGGGAAATTTAGGCTAGATATTAGAAAAAAGTTTTCCCTGTTGTGGTGGTGAGACCCTGTCCCAGGGTGCCCAGGGAGGCTGTGGCTGCCCCAACCCTGGCAGTGTTCACAGCCAGGGTGGATGAGCCTTGAGCAACCTGCTCTGCTGGGAGGGGTCCCTGCCCAGGGCAGGGCTTGGGGCTGGGTGAGCTCTAAGGTACCTTTCAACCCCTAAAATTCTAGGATTCTGGGAATAAACCCTACCATGATATCTATTCTAAGTGTGACAGGAGAAATAGTTGGGTGAGTATACAGAAATTGACTGAAATCTCTGCAGATCATTACATTAGGACCTTTCCTTTTGCACAATAAGCAGAAAAGGATTTGTAGTGAAAACAAAGTTTTTGTTTCATTTTGAGCTTGGATGAAAATACATCAAAACTGATCAAAAAAAACAAGCTAAAAAGGAAAAGAACAGCTGGTTTACTACCAAGTTCTGAACATACCTGATAGTTTGAGTTGGATGTTGGATGCCTCGATGAACGTGGCATTCACTTTGCTGCTTGTAGTATTGAACCAATCCACAGTGAGAGTAGCAGGTTGTCTTTTTCCTAGGTATTCATAAAACCCTTTCCACAGTGAATTTATAAAAAACACATCTGAGGGAACTGAATAAAAGTGAAGGGAAAAAAAGGAAACAAAGAAAGAAGTTAATTAGAACACAGTAATAATCTTTCTAGCCATAATTATGTTCATTTGTTCTGTTACAGAATCAATCCACTGTTCTAAGGAAGTTTTGTAGGAAATACTTTACAACAGTAATGACAATATATCGAAGGAGCTTTCCACACAGTTGCCTAGAAGATACCACAGCTGTCCATCCAATATATGCTCCTAAATCATCTCACACTTCAGAGCTTGTGTGTTTTCACTGAATGTCCCCAAGGCTCAGAGCACCTTCCAAGAGCTGAAGGGGCTCCAGGGAAACCGCAGAGGGTTCTGTGTTAGGAGCTGCAGGGACAGCACAAGGGGTAATGGGCACAAATTGAAGGAGATGAAATTTAGGCTGGATTTGAAGGAGGGGAAATTTAGGCTGGATGTTAGAAAAAGTTTTTCCCTGTCGTGGTGGTGAGACCCTGTGCCAGGGTGCCCAGGGAGGCTGTGGCTGCCCCAACCCTGGCAGTGTTCACAGCCAGGTTGGATGAGCCTTGAGCAACCTGCTCTGCTGGGAGGTGTCCCTGCCCAGGGCAGGGCTTGGGGCTGGATCATCTCTAAGCTCCATTCCAACCCCTAAAAATTCTATGATTCTATGATTCTTAAACTTCCTATGGGTATTGTAAGAATTGCAATATTATTACACACGTATTATATTAGAAATATGTTACACACAACTTATGCTCAACCATGGAAAAATGTTACTATTGCTGACAAAGACATTAACTCTGACAAAGACATAGAAATGTAATAAACAACAACAAACATAACTTGCATACAGATATCTAGAGGTGGGAAATCAGAACATGGATCTGCTCTGTTAAAACCCACTAGTTTAGCAATGTTCATAGCAATATTCATTCTGTTCAAAATACACATAGCAGCCAATCAAATTGTACCAAAAGCCAAGATAACAAGGTAGAAAAAACACCACAAAATACAATGTTCTGTACTAAAGAGGGTTCCCAACTCTAAAAGCCACAATGATATTGTGATTTGCAAACAGCTTTCAATATCTGCTTGGTAATTACTGTCATTGGTCACAGTTTCCCTTCCCTGCTCACTATTATTGGCATTTTTAATCCTAACATTCAACTGGTTACAAAATACCTTTCAAAAAGTACTTACTTGGCAAAACTAGTTCTAAGGGGCATGCCAGGGTGTGAATTGATACTGCTACTCTGTGCAGTGAAGGTGTTTGGAGATCAGGTCTATGTTTTTGGTTGGCATTGACCCCTCAACCCTCAATCTGTGTGGCAGCAGATTAATGCATAGCTGAGGTGTCTGGGGATTCTAGGAATAAACCCTACCATGATATCTACTCTAAGTGTGACAGGTGGATCCTCCAAAAAATGAACACCATGTATTAATTACAATCTCACTAAT